CACCCTCAAATCAATCCAAAATACCTTCCAAAACCCATATGTTAACATGCTCGAAACACATGTCGCAAAATTAAGACGAAGAATATTAGGAATGTTGTTAAAGGTATATGGCCAAGTTGGCCGCGTTTTTTTTTCGTTTTGTTCTATTCAAAAAATTCCGGGTTGTGACACAATTTCTTGCATTTCGGAGTAACTGCGCCTTGTTTTTTTACTCGGTAATTGATTGTTTTTGCCTTATTAATAGGGTCGTACTTTTAAGCGAATTAAGTTGCCAAATTGTGTTATGGAATTTTGAAGTCTTTAAAATTATTTGGATTGAATTGATGATTAGTAGATGAAAAATGGATTAAGAAGGTATAAGTTTGGTTAGATTTAGCGTTAGCTGGTTTCCTTAGCTTTAGCTTTAGCTTTGGTTTAGTTTTTGCTCTAGCCCTTATCTAGCCGTGCCTTGGTTTGAGCCTTAGCCTTAACTCGAACTTTAGCCTTATTCCGAGCGCTAGCTCTAACTTTACTTCTAGCCATTCTCAAGCCTTAGCATTAGTTTTAGTATAGCTTCAGCTCTGGCATTTTGCTATACTCATATCTTATTTGTTTAAGCCTTAGCTCTAGTTTTAGCTTTATTCTTAGATGGAGCCTTATTGTTAGTGTAGTCTTCTAGCCATAGCTCTTGATTTAGCTCCAGCAGCAGCCTTAGCCCCAGCCCTAGTCTCAGCCCTAGTCTTAAACTTAGCCCTAGCCCTATCTCTAGTCCCAGCTATAGCATCAGCCTAGCCTAGTTCAGCCCTTCTCTACTTTTTTGTTTTTAATTTTAAACTTGTCCTCACAATCATTAAAAACGTAGAACCCAAACTTATCATAGGTTTCGTAAAATTGGAAAGTCGTAAAATCGTTCGGAACGACCATTAAGCCCTTCAGGCCACACTTAATGTTCCCGAAACTTTGTCTTGTGCATAATTGGAGTCTTAAAGTTTGTTTATTTCGAAGACTTAATGACTCTCGTGCCTGATTTCTTAATTTGCTTAAATTCCGAAACGGAAAAGACTTCAGATGTCTTCCGGCTGAAATTTCGTGGCGAATCTTGAATGACAGTGCCTTCGTTTTGCAAAATCTTTTTGTTTGTTTAGTTGTCGATGGAGGGGGGATTATTAGACTATTAGGAATATATAGTTTTGTCAAAGGTCATGGTTAAGAGAGAGAAGAGAATGGGGGCGGTGTCATTGGGTAAGGTAGGGTAGGGCAGAATAAGACAGCGTAGGGTAATGCAGGGTAGAGTAGAGTAAGGCATGGAAGGATAGAGTAAGGTAAAGTACAAAATTTCTATGCTTTTCTCTTTTTTTTAGTTTTTGCAAATAAATTGCTAGAGGCAAGTTCAAAATTAAAAAAATGTTTTTTTTTCGGAATGCGCTGGGCATTAGACTTGGCAAATGTGTGGGCTGGGCTTTAGAAAGATTCAGGTTGGCCGGGCTATGTTGAAAAACCTGACCGGCCTGATTGCCAGTTCAGACACGCCTTATTTGGTGGTCCAAAACTTTCTGTAGAATTTTTGGCTAGATGTTTTAGGCCTAGTTGCAGAGTGCTAGTCTAGTTCCTTCTTTCCAACGTCAGGTTTTGAATAGGGCTGTTTATTGCAAAAACGATAGTATTTTCTTTTTGTCGCACTTTGTAGAACGGTTTAAATTTCTCTATTGCTAACATTTGCCATAAGCACAACAATAAACAAAGGAATAAGAAAAATATGAAAAGTCTGCAATTCTTGGCATTTTTTAGGGTGTGTTAAGGTAGGATAAGGTAGGGTAGAGTAAAGAAAGGCAGGGTGAAATAGGTTTTTCAAATTTTCGAAATTTTTCAAAAATTAGACATTTTTTTAAAAATGAGTAGTTTTTTAAAATTGAATATAAATTTTCAAAAATTTTTTAAGTTAAAAAAATGGTGATTTTTTAATTTTTTTAAATTTTAAAATCAATTTTTATAAACATTTTAAAATTTTTTTTGTCATTTCTTAACGCTCACAAACTTTCAACAACAATTGACTTGCCCTACGGCTATTCACGGCGTTTTTAATCGCCTTACTGGCTTAATGAATAGAACGGGCAATTTTTTCAAAATTACAATTTGCGGGCTTTTCGCGTCTCAGGGCACGACCCTCCGACTTGACGGATGTGAAGAGAACGTAAACAAAAGCTTTGATAACGCGAAGCGTTGAGTGTTATTTTACTCACTTCAAGTCAGGGATTAGAATATTACTATTTATTTACTGTAGACGCCATTCCCGCACTCGGTATTTAAAAAAATGTACATTTGGTTTTTTGAAGGAACGTTGATGCTACTATCATGTAAATGGGGGGGGGGGGTGATTTTTCGGTTTTATGGTATGGGTTTTACTGTAAGTGAGACGATCTGGGCGTTTGAACGGGGAAGAAAGGTAGTGTAGGGTAGGTGTTAAAATAAAATAGAGCTTGCGCTACAGTATTCCGTATGATTAGGGTTAAGGTATGGCTGGATTAAAGTAAGGTAAGGTATAGTGGCGGAGTCCATAGTAGGATAGGTAGGAGCAACGCGAAGCATGGCAGGTCGTGCTAGCGCAATGCATGGTTTGTTAGGGTAGGGTAGAGTAGAGCATGCCATAGTAGGGTTGGGCAGATAACGAGGGAGTAAGGCCGTGAACGGTAAAGTACGGTAGGATCGAGCACAGCTGGCCAATATGGGTAGAGTAGGATAAGGCAAGGGTGTAGTAGGGCGGGTATAAAATGGTACAGTAGGGTCGGGATAGGACAGCGCTGCAGCGTAGGGTAGGGTAGGGTAGTGTGGGGTAGGGTAGGGTAGGGTAGGGTAGAGTAGAGTAGAATAGGGTAGGGTAGGGTAGGGTAGGGTAGAGTAGAGTAGGGTAGAGTATGGTATGGTTGGGTATGGCAAGTTAGGGTAGCTTTGACCAGAAATGTATAGGAAATTGCAGGATATCGTATTCACATGATTTGATCTAAAATTTATTTTTGTTTTTTTATAGTTTACTAAAACTAGCAACACGAAAACGGCGTGTCCTTATCCAAACTATGCAAGTCCCACTTGTTTTGTCCAAATTAATGAAAGCGCAATTCTTTCGCGAACCCATTGGCCGCGCTAATCGAGCCGCACTTCTCCCACCTGAATCCTAATTCCTTCACTTTGTTTTGTCAAGTCGTCGGCCGAAAAAAGCATTTAATTGTCGTGGAGAAGAATGCCCGCAGGGGTCCTTTCTCGACATCCCCCCCCCCTTCTTCACGATGCCGCCCGATAATGCGATAACGGCCCCAAATTCGATTGAACACAAAATTTTGCGAACATTCGAATTTCATTTGTAAACATCCACCCCTCCTCGAATCGCCGCGATTTGCCATACTGGCGTCCGCCGGGAATTCGAGCGGGCGGAGGGTAGAGTTTCTTGGCCTTATTAACATGTTGAATAGATGAAGACATAACAGCGTGATGACCAAAACGTTTCGAAGCGAATTTCTTTGGAGAATTTGAGAAAAAACGACTAGATTTTCGAATTTTTTTGAAGAAAAATTACGGTTTTTAAAAATTTTTTGGAATTTTGGGCTGTTTTGAGATTGGAAAGAAAGTTCTCGCCACTTTTTGTCCTATAAAGAAAATTCTTGCCATTTTTTATTTTGTGAAGAAATTTATTGCCACTTTTTGTCCTGTAAAGAAAGTTTTTGCTATTTTTTGTTTTGTAAAGAAAGTTCTTGCTATTTTTTGTTTTATAAAGATATTTTAGTAACTGCTATTAAAAAATCAGCATAATTTTGTCTTGCGCAGACTGCGGGTGACAAATTATACGAAGAATTCGTTTTTTTTATTGTAGCAAAGCAATGAGTTGGGAAGGCTGCGGGAGACAAGTCATACAATAAATATATACTTTTATAATTTGTTTTGATTTGTAAGGAAAGTTTTTGCCATTTTTTGTTTTTTAAAGAAAGTTTTTGCCATTTTTGGTGCGGTAAAGAAAGTTCTTGTCGCTTTTTGTTTTGTAAAGAAAGTTTTTGACATTTTCCGTTTTGTAAAGAAAGTTCTTGCGATTTTTGTATTTCTAAAGAACGTTTTTGCAATTTATTGTTGTCCCCAAATCCAAAGAACAATAACGTTGCTCGAGGGTTATGAATAGAAATTAAAAACATTGCGCTATGAATTAATATTCATTACATTCCTCCTACTACTGTTTACGGCATTGGTCGAGGAAAATAATTTGTTTTGAACACGAAATTGTTTTATGAGCAAATTTATATTATCCATGGGAAATTATCGACGAAAACATATTTTTAAAGCGGTGGAGAAAAGTTTTGACTGTTTTTGGGATTGGTAATGAAAATTATGTCAGTTTTTATTAATTTCGTGGCACATTCATAGCTTTGGCGCCATAAAGAAAGTTTTCGTCATTTTTTGATTATTAAAAAAAGTTATTGCCATCATTTGTTTTGTAAAGAAAGTTTTTGCTTTTTTTTTAAATTTATTGGCTTTTTTAACAAAATTTACAGCTTTTGGCGCGAAAGCAAGCTGCGAGAGACAGGTTATACGATGGATCACATTTTTTGCACTGTAAAGAAAGTTCTTGCCTTTTGTCGTTTTGTAAAGAAATTTCTGGCTATTCTTGTCTTGTACAGAAAGTTATTGCCGTTTAAAAAAATACTAATACAATTTCAAAAAAAAATTGGAGCGTGATTTGCGAAGGACATGTTATACGATGAAGAGTGCCTTTTGTTAAAGGACTTTTTCACAAAAAATTAAAACATGATAATTATGATTTTTTTATTTAGTTTGTCTAGTTTTTTATCTTTTTTATAAGAGACGTTATGTTTTATATTATCTACCCTAGTTTTATTAATTTATTACTATTAAAAAAACACCCCTTTCACAATATTTTTTTACAAAACACCCTTTTTTCTAAAACCTTTTCAAGAACACCCCTTATTTTATTAATCTATCTTCTATTTACAGCCTGCAAAGCCGCCACATTGTCGTCGGCCATGTTGGCCCGGCGGAAGAGTTCGGCCGCCACCAGCACATCGGCGGCCGCTCAAGCAGATCAGCCCAAGCCCTCGAGTGTTGGGAATGGACCAGCGTCGGTTGTGACTTCACGGGTACATCAGGCCAGGGAAAGTGTTGCAGTTCTGGCCGAGTTATTGACTATGGATTCAGTTACGAGAAAGAGAAATACCCCAGGTAGGCTTGGGTAGGATATTGAGGGTTGGAAAGAAAATTTTTGCAATTTTTTGTTTTGTAAAGAAAGTTAGTGCCATTTTTAAGCTTGTAAAGAAAGTGCTTGCCAGTTTTTGTTTCGTAAAGAAAGTTCTTGCCATTTTTTATTTTTAAAGATAGTTTTTGCAAAAAATATTGGGTCGTACGTATTTTACCATCCTCCTTTTAAAAATCTTCTCAAATAATGTAGTGTAAGGACAAACCCGCTTTGTAAAATGTCAACATGCACATGCATTCGTATCTCGATACATCACAAAGCCAGCACATTAACACGGCTATATATCATTCGGTTATACGATCATATGTGCATCAAACGGAAGCATAATTCTTTTTTCCTTTGATCTTGTTATGGGGCTGAAACGGGAGAAACTATAGTGTTGGCATGGGGGTTTTTGAGATTTTGAGATGATTTTTGGGTTATAGAGAAAGAGGAGGGGGGGATAGAAAGGGGGATGGGCGGGGTAAAGAGGGTTGGTTTGAGTTATAGGGGGTGGTTTTTAAAAAAAACTTTTGGCAGAGGGTATGGGTTTTTAATTTTTTTTTATTTTTGTGGGCTAGGCGGGTTTTTAAGAAAGTTTCAGGTAGAGGGTAGATTTGGAATTTTCTTGGATGCTGGGCTGTTTTCAATAAGAAATTTTGGTTGTAGGGGTAGATTTACAATGTTTTTTATTTTGTAAAGTGGGTTTTTAAAAAAGTCTCTGGTTATAGGGGGTAGATTTTTAATTTTTTTTGATTTTGTGGGACTGGTTTTGGTTTTTATTGGATTTTTGTTTGTTGGGGGGGGGGTAGATTTTAAAAAAATATTTTAAAATTTTTTTTACAAAAAAACATTTTCTTCCAAGTTTTATGTTACTAATGGTCCAATTAGGCCTAGAATTACAATTTTTTTGCCAAATCTTTTGGTTTTTTTTTAATTGGAAGTCCTATTTGTGGGTAGGGGTGGACGATGGGGTTTTAGTCTTAGCTGTAGTTAAAGCCATAGAAGTAGTATTAGCCTTTGCCATAGTCAAAGCCATAGCTTTAGCCTTAGTCCTAGCCATACTTTCCTCTCCAATCCTAGTTCTAGCCATTGCTCTGTCCTTAGCGATAGTCATAATCTCAGCATACTCCACCCTACCTTACCCTACTCTACCGAACTCTACTTATCTTGCCCAACTTTGCCGTATTTTATAAAATTTCATGTTTCTGTTAATGCCACCCAACTGTCCTCACCTCAATTGTAAGATTTAAATAGCGACATACGTTTGTCTACACAAACATTTCAAACGAACAAAAACGTCTCGTCTTGATGTTCTTTTCAGGACCGGAAATGTTAAAAGTTGGTTAACGGCGATAGTTCAAGTAGGCGAAATAACATGGAACGAGAGGAGAGGCAGTAAAAGAAATATTTTTTTGAAGAAAAAATAAAAATTGTTATAAAAATATCCAAAAAGATGACAAAATAAAAAAATTTGTTGGGCATAAAGTTTATTAAAATAGCATAATTTTTAAAATTATTGAAAAAAACGGCTTTTTCTACGCACTTTTTGACCACTATACTAAAATTCTACATAATTAATGACCAAGTCGATTATTCTTATAATTTTTTGATAAATATTTATAAAAAATTCTTTTAAATTTTTTTAGTAAAAACAAGAGAAAACCAATTTTTAAGAGACGAAAAAGAAAAAAAAGCGAAAAAGAAAATTAAATTGAATTTAAAGAAATTATGCAAATTTGCTGCAAAAAAAAACGTTTGGAAAAGTTTGAAAAGAAAAGAAAAACGCTTATCAAAGAATAAGTAAATGTAAAGGGAACAAAAGTGCTAGATTTAAACAAGGTTTTCTAGTTTCTACTGAGATTGGGTGGGGTGATGCAATTTGCAGGGTGGAGACTTTAAAAAAATATTTTACACTTGCTTTAGCCTTGTTCTAGCCTTGTCCTAGCCTCTTGCTATAGCTTTTCTCTAATTCTAGCCCTAACTTTGCGACAGCCTTGCACTTTTCCAACCTCCAGCCCTTACCTTTGCCTTGTCTTAGCCTTATCCTAACTTAGCTTTGCCGTAACTTTCCCTTAACCTTTATTTTACCCTACCCAACCCTACCTTATCCTGCTCTACCCTACCAGGCTTTACTCACATTGCCTTGTTCTGCCCTTTCTTATCCTCTGAACTATAGCAATAATCAACAATTTCGATGATGCTATATTGTCATAGCCCTTTTATATGAAAATAATAGCCTCATACACCACGAACCAAAGAATTCCTGTATCGTAAACAATATTGTTTGTGTTGAAAAGTTTTTTTTTAATTTCCACACTTTTCAATGGCATCCTCGGAAAAAGGCTTTAATGAAACTTTTTATGGCAAACTCTCTTCGCCATAACTTTAACCTATATCACTTTACCCTCCGGGTGTTTTTTCGAGATTCTTCGGGCGAGGAACGTAATTTGGACAAAGTTATGGGGTTTATTTTCAAATTTGAGGGGTTGTTTTTTAAACTTTTAAAAATTTTAAATGTTGAGGCAAAAACGATGATTTATTTATAACTAGGGGGGGGGGGTTTTGAGGGCAGGGCGGGATATAGACAATGATAGGCAAATAATACGGGGCTAAATCTAAAGCGGGGGTGGAAGGAAGGGGTGGTCAACAGTTGAGATGAATGTAGGGTAGAATGAGGTAAGGTAAGGAACGGCAGGGTAAGGTAGAACAGAGTAGGGTAAAGTAAGGTAGGGTAGTTTTGGACCCTGTTTTTAAAAATAAAAGTTACCCCACCCAGCACTATTTATAGGCTTATGAGTGTCAATACTCATTTCCTTTAGCCTCATAGCTATCAACCTCCCTCACCCTTCTCCCCCCCCCCTTCCAATATTTACTGATTTACTTCCAGGCCAAAAGTAAATATCTAGTTTATGTCCACAAAACTATATAGCCTTAGGGGGTCTTCGGGGTGGAATTTACTCAATTTGTCAGGAAACTCGTTACGGCTCTTTCCGGACGCCCTGAGGTGCTGGCCAGGGGTCGGATTGCGCATCTTTTTTTAAACTTTGCCCAATTTTGTTTTTCTTTTTAGCCCAATCAGTAAGCACTTTCCGCCCCATTACACCTATGTCATATATATGCATGTTTATTATCGATAGACATGTTGTTATAGTTATATGTTTGTTGTAGCCTTTTGGGTTATGATTGAAGGTTTGCTGGTTTTATAGAGGATTTGAAGGGGAGGTTTTTTGAGGTTTAAGTGTTTGTGGCTATTTTAATGTTGTAATAAGAAGACACTAAAATTATTGGTAGTTTTTTTAGAAAATTTTCAAAATTAAAAAAAAAGAATGAAAAAACGGCCGGAACTTTCTTTACAAAACAAAAAATGGCAAGAACTTCTTTACAAAATGAAAAATGGCAAAAACTTTCTTTACAAGGTTTGAAATGGCAATTACTTTCTTTACAAAACAAAAAATAAAAAATTTTAATAGTTTATTAGTAATTTTTAATAAATTTTTAGTTAATATTTTTATTAGTATTAGAATTATTTTGTTGATTCCTCCTTATTTATTTTTAAGAGCATTAGAACTTTCTTAACAAAACGAAAAATGGCAAAAAATTTCTTTACAAAGCAAAAAATAGCAAAAACTTTCTTTACAACTATATTAATTTTCGTTTTTAAAAATAATTTTAAATTCTGTAAATATTTACTTTCCTGCAAACAAACTTTGTGCCCTCCGGCGTTCCTGCACATAATGTTATTCATATAATTAATTCATTTATCCAAGCAGCCTTTTTATGCCCAAAAGTCGCATCAAAAAGTATTATAACCTTTTACTCGAGGTCCAATTAGTCTTGGGCCATGCCGCTAATTAAGGCCGAATTTGCAGAATCGATCGTGTTGATGAGCGGGTTCGAGACGTTCCTCAAGCTGACATGTCTCTTCTCCATGATCAGCGTTTGTATGCACACGCCCAAGACCATCGAACTGTTGCCTGGGCTCGAGTATGGGCTGCTGGTGGTGGATGTGATCATCACATTGTGTTTCACACTGGAGACACTATTGAGGGTAAGGGTTTTTTTGTTGTAAGGGTTGCTTACAGTGGGCTACATTATCCTACCTTACCCTACCTTGGCCTGAATGTCCACTTTTATGAACCAGTTTTGCCTACAATCTTTGTTTCATATGCATGTACTATAATATCCCTCAATGTTACTGTACCTTCATTACAGATGAGCAAGGCCTACCTCCGTGACCGATGGAGTCAGTTCGACCTGGCCCTACTTATAATACATTATGTGACAGTACTATTACACATTTACGAGCTGGTCACTCGTGCATTCCCTGGCCTAGGGTTGGTCTACAAGACCTGGTATGGGCTGTTACGGTCGCTACGACCATTTGTTATGATACGACTAGTTAGGTTGTTAATTAGGTTTAAATTGCCCAAAAATAGGATTCAACAGATCATCAAGTAGGTTTTGGCAGTTGAATCTAAATTTTTATATTGTAAAGAAAGGTTTTGTCATTTTTCGTTTTGTAAAAAAAGTTCTTGTCATTTTCTGTTTTGTAAAGAAAGTTCTTGCTATTTTTTGTTGTGTAAAAAAAGTTCTTGCCATTTTTTATTTTTTAAAGAAATTCCTTGTAATTTTTCATTTTGTAAAGAAAGTTATTGCCAAAAAATGAAAAAAATTTAAATACGTCATTTTTATGCAAATTTCCTCAATTTCAGGCGCTCATCGCAACAGATCCAAAATGTCACGATCTTTTTCTTGTTCTTCATGACATTGTACGCTATAATGGGTGTTCAACTGTTTGGTCGCATCGAAAACCATTGTGTTTTACCGACCACTAACCCCTTCAACGTGTCGATCACGGACCTCGCCATCCCTGATACGATGTGTTCGAAGCCGGGTATGGGTGGATACGAATGTCCACCTAATATGGTCTGTATGAGGCTACATTTCAATGCTAGGGAGACTGGGTTCTACGGAATGTTCGACGATTTTGGTAGGGTTTCGATTTGACTTTCCAAAATTTTGGAAAATTAAAAAAAAATTTATTTTGAAATTTTAAAAAATCTGATTTTCTCTGAAGCCCTAGGACACCAACTTTAGAAGATATGACACTTCCAATCTTTTAAAAAAACCTTTTTTCATTAAAACCCCCTCCATTTACCACTAAAACCGACTGTTTAGGCGCCAGTTTGTTTACTGTTTATCTGGCCGCCAGTCAAGAAGGATGGGTATACGTCCTATACGACACATTAGACACATTCCCCTCGTACATGGCCTTTTGCTACTTTATTACATTAATCTTCTTCATGGCATGGTTGGTGAAGAACGTTTTCATTGCCGTTATCACCGAGACCTTTGCCGAAATTCGTGTACAGTTCAGTGAAATGTGGCAGAATAAAGAGATCGCCGATGATCAAAACTTTCACCACATGGTATGGAAACAAAGTTTTTGTGGGAAACTGAAAATTTTTAAAATTTGTGAAAAGGTCCTACTTATCATTTTAGATATAGAAAACCTAAAAAATTTTATTTTGAGTACTAAAAAGTTTAAAACATGCTTAAAAATAAAAAACAACTAAAACAACACTAAAATCACCTACAACAAGCCATAAAAACCTGTAAACAAAGTTTCTTCAACACCCAAAACCAAAAATTTTTCAGAAACTGCAAAAAACTTCAGAAGGCTGGCGTCTAGTTGAAATAGACTCGGAAGTCGAGATAGGAAATGCGCCAAAAGTATTGAACAAGATTGTTCGCTCTACTACATTTCAAATTTGTGTTATGGTACTGGTACTATTGAATGCTGCCATTAATGGGTCCTTTGTTCATTATCACGACAAAAGAGACGAGGATCGCAAAAAAATTTACTATTTTATTGAGGTAATGGTTTATATATATTTATTGAGCTGTTTTACAAAATGTTGAAATGGTACTACTGGTACACCTTGTGGTACCATTTTTTCAAGCTTACATAAATGACCCAAAAATAGTACATAAGGCTTTATTGAGCTATTTTGAAAAATTCCAAAAATGGTACCGCTGGTACAGTTGGTACATTTTTGCTACCATTTCTTGAAATTTTTCAAAATGACCCAAAAACACAAAACTAACTATAACACATCAGAACAACACTATTTTCAGACCGGTTTCACAATTTTATTCGATATCGAGTGCCTCGTAAAGATAATCGCCTATGGGTTCCAAAACTTTTTCAAAAGAGGACAACACAAGTTCGAACTGGTACTATGTCTCGGTTCCACCGTGAACATCATACCCATGCTCTATACTACCAAAATTTTCACATACTTTCAAGTTTTTCGATTGATTAGATTAATCAAAGCTTCGCCAATGTTGGAGGACTTTTTGTATAAGGTAAGATGGATGTTTCTTGGGTGTAAATAAAGTTTTTTCAGTACAAATTACTAAAAAAACCAATAAACAAAGCGTATTTTACCAAAACATTATAAAAATGTAAAGAAAGTTCCTGCACTTACAAATTCATTTTTTTTTACTTCAAATCCTTGAAATTTTAGATTTTCGGCCCAGGCAAGAAGCTGGGCGGTTTAGTGGCCTTTACCATGATTATGCTCATCATTTCCTCAGCTGTATCATTACAACTTTTTTGTTTTGTCGAAAATCTCGACAAATTTCACACATTCCCTCAGGCATTCATGACCATGTTTCAAATTATGACTCAAGAAGGTTGGACGGAGTTGGCGGTAGAGATTCTACGATGCATGAACGAGAGTATGGTACCTTTTGTGGCCATTTATTTCGTTGGGTACCATTTGTTCGTGACTTTGGTAAGGATTTTTGGTTCATTTTTTGAGTATAGGGCTTGTGGTACTGTAATTTACTTGCCTATATTATAAAGAATTTGTATGCCTAAAGAAACAAGACTTATGGTACTATCAGGAACCGGCTTGAATGAATATTTTTTAAAATAGGACTTATTGTGCTTGTCTTCCTAATAAAGGTATCAAAAGTAACATTTACAGTACCATTTTGTAATTGCTTTGGCGTACCATGAAGGGTTTTTTCCTCCTGTTTTCATTATAGTACCAAAACCATAAAATCAGCTGGTTGTAGTCCTGAAAACATAAAACACCTTCAGATTGTGTTAAGCCTGTTCGTAGCCGTCATCTTGGATAACTTGGAAATGGACGAAGAGTTGAAAAAGATCAAACAACTCAAGGCACGTGAGGAAACGACTATGCGTACCACCTTACCGTGGCGTTTACGCGTATTCGAAAAATTCCCAACAAGACCACAAATGGTACAGTTACGCAAAGTTTCGAACGAATTCCCAATGCCAAAAGTTCGTGACAGTTTTACGCGACAATTCGCCGATCCCAACAGTGAAAGCTTTATGTTGGACACGGACAATTGTATCGGAAAGCCAAAGAAAATACTCCCAGGACAACCCTTTCTTCGTACTGACTTGTACGAAATTAGAGTACGACAAATTGGGCATTTGTCGTCGAAGAGTAGTATTAGCTATCTTATAGAGTAAGTTACAGCAAATTAAGTATAAGATAAGGCCAAGCAAGACCAATATATTTTTTCTAAATTGGTGCTTGTAGACATAACGTTGACTTCTTCCAGAGAATCTAACAAAAACCGGGTATTACTATCAGATTCTACTCAATTTATTGCTCAAAGACTTGGTCCAAGACGGCGAGAACATACTGTGTAAGTCACTATGGTAAATCAAACAAACCTACTAAACACTATAACATGAGAACCCAAAATTACAATTTCAAACATAAAACATTAGCCCTAAAAACAAAATTGGCCTAGAAGAGCTTGTACCAATCAATCTAACCCAAGCTTGTCGCAATCAATAAAGCCCCTTATTTCAGCCGTCATCGCACTCGCGGCCTGAACGGCACCAGCTCTTTAAAATCAAAGGCTTACGACCATTTTAAAGAGAACGGCGATGTAAGACCAACAGATTCTGCACCAAAAGACAATATGAAACAAGGAGAAATCGACATCAAGGCTTTACAACAGAAAAGAGCTCAAGCTGAGTTCACGAGAAATAGAATTGAGGAGGAGATGAGAGAAAACCATCCATTTTTCGACCGCCCTTTGTTTACTGTGAGTTGATGTTTTAAGTAATTATGTAATAATGGGGCCCTTCGTATTTTACAACACATTAAGCAATACAAAAGTCTCGTCAAAAATCCATAGCTACTTTTTATACTGCCCTACATTATACTAGCCAAACCATAAAACGCATTTTAGGTCGGCCGAGACTCACGCCTACGCCAGTGGTGCCAAAATATAGTGTACGCCAAGTACTCGCCTGAAAAGATCGATCCAATCACTGGAAAGCCAATCCAGCTAAAATACAAACAAATCCACTCCTTCTTCAGCATAATGAACTACCTCGACTGGTTCATGGTGGTCATGACCGGTCTCAGTTGTGGGTCAATGTTATTCGAGTCACCATGGCCAACAACTGGAGAATACCTTGTATTCAACAATGTTTACCTACAAATCTGTGAATACACATTTGTAGCTGCGATGACCTTCGAACTGATGGTTAAAGTGCTGGCCAATGGTGTCTTTTTCACGCCAAAAGCTGTGGTCAGAGATGTTGGTGGGGTTATGACCGTTTTTATTTATATTGTAAGTTCTTTTAAGCGATCTTTGTAGGTATTGCTTCTTCTTTAGGTACTCTATTATATAGTAAAACTATTGGGCACGCTTTAGGTACCTAAAATATTATCCTAACCTCAGGCATCAAATATAATATAATCTTCAAATTTCAGACCTCAGTATGGTACCTCTTTTGGATGCCAAAACACGTAGAAATCAACTCATTTGCTCAACTATTAATGATCTTCCGCGCAATGCGACCACTTCGTATCTACACTTTAGTACCTCACATCAGACGGGTAGTAGTCGAGCTATGTAAAGGCTTCAAAGAAATTATCTTGGTAACAATATTGCTAGTCCTTCTTGTCTTCGTATTCGCTTGTTTCGGAGTCCAAATGGCTGGTGGAAAGCTGGCCGGCTGTAATGATATGACAATAACAGCACGTGAAAATTGTACAGGAGTATTCGAGCAGAAGATATTCATCACGCGGATGGAAGTTTACGGTAAAAATAGCGATGACCTGCATCCAAAAATTCTGATTCCAAGAGTTTGGGCAAATCCACGGAATTTCAATTTCGATCACATTGGAAACGCCATGTTGTCGTTATTTGAAACTCTGTCGTACAAGGGGTGGAACGTGGTTAGAGATATATTGTGGATAAGACTTGGAGCGGTAAGTGAAGATTTTGTTTTAGAGAAGGTTTTTGCAGTATGTTGTAGTAGGTTTATGCCTAAACGGGGGAAAAACTACATAAAATTTCAAAAACTAAGCAATAAATTCAAAACTTAAATAACTTACTTTCAGTGGGCAGTAATCTTCATCCACATATACGTTTTCATTGGTTGTATGATTGGCATCACCCTATTCGTAGGTGTGGTAGTAGCAAACTACATGGAGAACCGAGGCACAGCCTTATTAACTGTAGATCAACGTCGTTGGCACGACCTAAAAGCACGTTTACGAATGGCACAGCCACTGCATGTTCCCCCAAAACCCGGAGAATCCGCCAAACTTCGACGTCGATTATACGAACTTACCATGGGCCGAAACTTCAAACAATTCTTTGTCATCTTGGTGGTCGTAAACTCAGCGACACTGTTCGTACCGTGGAACCCAGAAGAAGAAAAGATTCGCCCAACACATTTATGGTTCTCTACTGTAATATCCGCCATGTGTAATGTCCTGTTCACGGTGGAGGTGTTGTTAAAGACGATCGCGTTCACTGTGAGAGGATTCTGGCAAAGCAAAAGGAATCGTATCGATCTGCTTATCACGATTCTAGGTTGTTCATGGATCGCTACACATTTCATAATGGCTTTGCCGGCAAAAGCTGTTAGTGATAACGCGCAAGGAACGTTGAAACGTTACACATACACATTCGGATATATGGTGGTGATCATGAGATTCTTTACCATTGCTGGCCGGAAATCAACGTTGAAGATGCTTATGTTGACAGTTGTTATGAGTATGGTTCGATCCTTGTTCATTATTACGGCCATGTTCTTGCTGGTGCTGTTTTATGCGTATGCTGGGGTTATATTGTTTGGAATGGTCAAGTATGGTCAGGCTATTTCAAAGTAAGTTGATATTTTCTTAGTAATCCCCGCCATTCCAGCGGTAAAAAAGCCTTAACATAAACCTGAAACAACCAAAAATCCTAAAACATAACAAAAAACACGCAATAAACATAACATTAACCTAATTGAAACCTTGTTTTAGACACGTGAACTTCCGCACTGGTTCAGAGGCCTTGGTTGTTCTGTTTCGTTCAGTTACAGGTGAAGATTGGAACGATATTATGCATGACTGCATGGTAAGTGATCATGGATAACAATCCATTACATTTTTTATTCAAAAATCCATAAGTTCTTGCCGCTTCTATTTAAAATCTCTTAAATTTTGCACTTTTCGACCTAAAATTTAAAAAAATCAAGAAAAAACCACTCACTTGCTTTGATCCATGAAGAAAAGCGAATTAGAACCATCTACAACAATATCGAGGACAAAAATATCGAAATATTGAAAAAAGCAAATAAATTTTTGAAAATTCCAGCGTTCCCCGCCATTCTGTTACTGGGAAGAAGGTATGGATTACTGGAAGACCGATTGTGGCAATTATTTTGGAGCGGTTATCTATTTCTGCTCCTTCTACCTTATCATTACCTATATTGTCCTTAATCTTCTTGTGGGTAAGTTAATGTCCTGCAATCTAAAAAGTACATAAAATGGGAGATCATTACGTAAAATCATACAACATTGAACATTATATCAATGCAATTAAGAAAAGTTGATAATTCTAGGTGACATTCACAAAAAGTTTTGGGAAAAATATTAATTTAGGTAATATACCAAAACGTTTTCATAAAAAATCAAGTTTAAAATAACTTCTAAATATAAACTCTCTTTTCAGCCATCATTATGGAGAACTTTTCGTTGTTTTACTCAAGTGAAGAAGATGCTCTACTCTCATACGCAGACATACGAAACTTCCAGCAAGTCTGGAACATGGTGGATGTTGAGCAAAAGGTAAAAAGACTTATTTTTAATGTTTCAAAATATAAATTTTTTATTTTTATAGACGTCTTACAATAAAATAAACTGTTTTTTGTTTAGAAAAACCAATTTACAAACTAAAATAGGATGGCACCTTCGCGGCCGAGCATTTTGTAGGCCGCAGAGAGAATTTATATGAAAAAGCGGCCCCGCTCTGATTGACTTCAAACTTTTTATAAAGAAAGATCATGTAAATATAAGATCTTCAGCAAAGTAATAAATCGCGCTTTCCAGGAAATCTCGAGAAAATTGAGATTAAAAAATGACATTTTGAATTTCCCGCCAACTTGGCATTGTATTTCAAGCAATTTTTCATGAAATTTTTTAGAGGATGATACCAGTACGTAGAGTAAAGTTTTTGCTTCGATTGTTAAGAGGAAGATTGGAAGTTGATCCAAATAAAGATCGACTACTGTTTAAGCATATGTGCTATGAAATGGAGAGATTGAACAATGGAGATGACGTTTCTTTTCATGACATTTTAAAGTAAGGCTTTATTATGCTTTTAAGAACATGACTTGCTCTACTTTTCCTAAAATTACAAAATTTATCGTCTTAAAATGAAGGCTCGGCTTATATTTAATTTTGATAATAGTGTTGTTTAAATAATTCTGTGCTCCCTCTCAAAGCAAATTTGGAGGCCAGGAGCACAAAATTATTTGAACAAATTAATAAATATTGATTAACAAAGTTTTGTCGTTTTTTTGCACTTAATACATAATAAATTGACGACAAAACTTTTATGCCATTTTAAAGATAAAAAAGTCAAAATTTTTATTAAAATTTTAACATTTAATGTTTTAGTATGTTGTCCTACCGTTCTGTGGACATTCGAAAGAGTTTGCAATTTGAGGAATTGGTTCAACGAGAAGAGCTCGAATATATTATTGAAGAAGAGGTGGCCAAACAAACGATAAGATCATGGCTGGAGGGGTGTTTGAGGAGGATTAAACAGGAAGAGGTACTGTATTTTTAAATACTGTAGAGTTTATTATACAGGAGTTACTATGCTTTTATATTTTTTAAATTTTAGTTGGAGGACCGTTTCACAAAAACTAAAAAATGGTTTTCAAAAAAATACGAAAAAGAAAAAAATTAAAAAATGTCATTCCAGAAGCCAACAACAGACCACAACCTAATAAACCAGCTCAGATCAACTATGGGCCAGCCTGTGCCATTGGCAACATTAGGGACAGCTAGAGTCAGCTTAACTCCAGAAAACTCGTCGATAAAGAGTCATTTGTACAACAATGAAGTTAACATCAGTCAAGAGTTAAAAGTGGACTCACCGGTCGAAGAACCGGTCAAAAAAGTGTCAAAACGAAGACGAAGCAGCATCCCTGATCTGGTTGGGGTAGGTTGATCATGTTTGTTTAGTTATGGGCAGGGGGAGGATGGGTTTAAATTTTTTTTGCGGTACGTTACTTCTCCTAACTTACCCTACCCTAAATTACCGTACCCTACCCTACCCTGCTCTTCCCTACTTTACCCTACTCTACTCTTACCTGTCCATGCTCAACCCTAACCTGCTGCACTGAACCTTAATCTAACTTACCTTCCTGTACCCTCGCATTCCTACTATAATATAATTTTTTAAAACAAAAATTTTATAGGAAGCCAAAAAGTTAGTATGGGGAAAGGCAAGTAAAAGTCCCACACCAAATGCTAATCAATCGACTGATCGTCCTACGGACACGTTAACGGCAAATGACACCAATTACTTTGACAATCGACAGAGAAGGTCTTCATTTAGGAAGACGAACGCCCAAAATCAAGTTAATCTGAACAGAGTGGACAAGAGGGCTACTTTGAAACAGCTGCAGGTATGTTATTGTAGCCAGATATTGATTTACAGCTTTATATGCTACAGTAATTACTATTGTAGTGAGCCAAAAAAGTTTTGTCGTTTTTGTATGTTTAATGTAATATAGATTAACGGCAAGACTTTAATTTTTTGCGTTACGGTAACCCGGTACCGTATTTTACATTTTTTCAAATTTTAAACAACATTACCATGCCACTTTCAGATGCAAACCTACGAACTGCCAGAAGTGGAGGAATGGGAAGAAGCTGAAGATGCGTTAGCTCCGAATGATCGACGCCATTCCTTGGAAGTCAGTAATTCTAAACATCCAGCTTCACAACTATCACGCCGACCTTCTCAAATCAAACACTTACAATCAGTTACCGAATACAACTTTTATCAACAACCAAATCAGACATCAACAACCGATGTGCAGAGCTGGTGGAATGAGATCGCCAATGCTTAGTGGTCTTACCATGGTAATTTTTACTCTACATTGCCTTACATTACTGTACCTTGTTCTACCCTTACTTTACCCTATCTAACGCTAACGTACTCTACTCTGCCCTACTCTGAATTACCCTACCTCACTCTATTCTACCCTATCCCACCCTGCACTAACTTACCTTGCCCTGTCCTATTCTGCTTTACTTTACCATGCTCTACCTTTTCTTATCTGGCCTTGTTCAACGCTAAATTCTCACTGTGGTTGCCTTTTAATACATTGAAGTGGCCAAACAAAAGATACGATTATGGTTGGGAGGGTACTTCCTACCCTACACTATCTTACTCTAGTCTATCCAACCCTACCGTAATCTACACCTACTGTATACAGTAGTACATCTACTTTTTATTAGGTAATACTAGGAACATCCTAACCTTCCTCTATGTATGTTCAAATATTTGTGCCATACTCTTTCAAACAATATTAAGCCGGTTTCAATTTTATTTTTTGATACTCAAGATTACTATATATTTATATATATATTATATATATAAAACGCCAACGATTTTATATTGTAACAATGTTTTCTTTACGGGTAAAATAAATTTTTATCATCATATTGGTCCCACCACGAAAACATAAATAATTTATAGTTTTTAAAATCTGCTAAAATTTCATCAAATATTGACAATTTATTAATATTAACAATTAAAGAATGGCACAAACTTATCTTATTAGGTTGTTCAAATATAATGAACTTTACTTTTAATATGGGGCACAGAATTATTTGAACAATCTAATCTCAACTTATATCCGATAAACACTGATCGAGTTGATAACATAGTCTAAACAGTAAAGTAAGTCATCATTTTTGACCACATTCGACCATAACGCCGTTTCTTCTGAATCCACAACCAATCGTCGTACGAACTTGAGCTCATCTTTGTTATAAACATGAAACTCGGCTCTGCCTCGTTGAGCGGCCCAAACTTCATTGCCATTTTGAAGCAATGCCAATGAATAAGAACCACCTGGAATCGAACCAGACGCTACAATGGTGCCATTGAGTGTAGCCTTCAGAATGGCTGATTGGCATGAATAGAAAATGGCAGATTCGGTCGGTAAGATAAAGTTACAGCTTTCTTTTGGCGTTTCTGATAGCCTGATTACTGATGTGAGGTCGAGCTCTTTGTCGTATACGTATACTGTGGCATCGGTGCGGCTGAGAACATAAATCTGTAAAAGGTAATAGTAGTGTAAGGATAGTAAAAAATATATTACTTTAAGCCTTGTAAAGAAAGTTCTTGCCATTTTATGTCTTGTAAAGAAAGTTCTTGCCATTTCGTGTTTTGTGAAGAAGGTTCTTGCTATTTTTTGCTTTGTAAAGAACGTTTTTGGCATTTTTTGATTTGTAAAGAAAGATTTTGTTATTTTTTAACTTGTAAAGAAAGTTGTTGCTGTTTTTTTGCCAAAACAGCTTTTTGTCTTGCAGACTGCGAGTGACAAGTTATACGAAGAATTCGCTTTAAAACAAATCGTGCCAAGTTTTAGGCAAAAAAGTTAAAGCCTAGCCTTCATTGTGAAATAAAATTGCCATACCTTATCATCCAAGACTTGCAAATCCAAAACCTGATAATCAATACCAATCTGATCAATCACTCTTCCTTCAACGTCGTACACATTCAAAGTAGAGTTGAGAGCTTCATTTACTACCATTTTGCCATCCTCAAAGTAGCCGATTCTGTGAATCGTCGTCATCGTATGTAGACTTCTGAGAAACTCAAAGGAAGTCGAATTTAAAATGTCAATTTCACCATGAGACTTGGTGACATGAAGCAATTGACCGGTTCTGACCGTAAGACCAATGATTTTGCCTGGATTCTGAAGGTCGAGTTTGGTCACTTTCTGTAGCAGTTGCTTTGGTTGTGAATCCAAAGACAAGGTTTGGTCTGAAGGCGTGAAGAAAGAGATGACTTGGTTGGGCATGGCAGTTGTGGCTTCTGCGGTGTCAACAGGCCATAACATGCTTGATAGAGTGGCAGCTAGGTCGGAAGATGATTTAGATGGGTTATCGTGAGAATTAGTAACCTTTTCTTCTTTAGCTTGTTCTAATTTTGTATCGTCAGTCTCTGTAGCTTCATTTTTGTTATCAAAAAGGTTTACTTTGCCTTGTTCAACATCATGAAGTTTCATTTCATTGTTTTGTGTAGAAGTCACTATGCCACCACCTTCTGAATCTGAATTTACATCAATATGGTCACTATGCTCTTCTTTTTTAATTTTCAAGGGTTGGTCATCAGAATTTTTACTTTTAGGAACCACAAGACCTTTAGGTATCTTCGTATCTTTTTCAGCATTATCATCTGCTTCTTTCACGCTATTTTGGTTAGTTGTAGCCACGATAGAAGCCGCAGTAGCTTGCAAATCGTTCTTCAAACCTTTGTCTACATGTTCATTGATATCATCCTTCATTTCCTCCTTGGCATCATCCATATTAACCATCATGTCAGTCATTTTCTTAACTTCATCAGTCTTTGCCATGGCTTTAGGCTCCTTTGCCACGACTTCAGCTTCTTTATCCATTCCTCGAGCTTCTTTAGCCGCCTTCTCTTTCTTCAAGTTCTCCATGTTAGCTATTAAATTGGCTGGTTTTACTGTAGTAACATCCATCATGGTTTTATTCGACTTTTTTAGAATCTGAGGTTCTTCCGTCATGAATATGAACAATACTATTAATGATAGTAGAGCTGTTAGGATTAGAAACATTATCATTAGAACACAGTTTGAGGCCTTCATTTTGAAGGGATTGGTACTGTACGATATACTGGCCTGGTACTGTAGCCTATGTAAGGTTGGTACTGTAAAGCTGTACAAGGTTGGTACTGTAAGCTATACAATAAGTAGCAAGACGAGTACGAACTTAAAATCACTATATTATATAATTATGTAGTACAAATTAAAATGTTACTGGTAGTACTATAAGGTAACAAATATTGCCTGAGGTTAATAGGTAATCTTCTGCCAGCCGATAATTAGATCCAGGCCTGTGTTACAGTAGGCTAACGTCTCACAATAGTAAACTTAACACAGTAGCCCCAATAGTATCGTACTACAAAAATACTCAAATACCAATGCCAATATTGCTCCAAGTAATACCTAATTTAAAAAAAAAACACAAATTCGTATGTTTTTTGTGAAAAAATGGCGCAAGACCTCCGAGATCTGAGGTCGCCGCCATGATAACATCTGCAAGACGTTTTCGCACCCTACATTAACTTTTGAGGATTCCGATGAAATCAGGTCTTCGGTCATTGGTTTTAACTTTTTGCAAAACAAACAATTAAATTCGAAAATTAATAACTAAAAAAATAAAAGATAAACATCATGTTTAGAAGTCTGTAGTGAGATTGTTTTAGGATTTAAAGCTCTTTTGATTTTAAATGTAGAGTAAAAATAACTATTATGTTTAGAAGTCTATATTAAGGTTGTTCTAAGTTGCAAAGCTCTTTTGAAAACCTAGGATAGATAAACAATTCAAGATTGTTAAAATCGTTAACAATATCAATTCGTGAATGTTGTTGCAATCGACATCTATTCTATTAGGTTGAATCAAAAGTAGCAGGACATTTTTGAGTTTAAAATAAATACACCTAATACAGTTTGGTCGATATTGAACATGAATTACAGACAGGCTGGGTACTTTCTGTTCCGCCTTCCTACGAGTCTTTTGCCGAGGGATAGGGGGTCCCACGTTATTACCTGAAACATCCATCATTTGCCGTCAACATCTTTCATGAACTGTCCCACTTCTTTTTCTTAGCTATCAGACTGGCGCTCTTGAATCTAGCCCTTGTTCTGATCTCCTCCACTTCTTCTTTTAACCCTCCATATTATCCCCAACGTCTCTCCACCTTACTGACCGTTCTAATCAGCTTCCATCGGCTATTTATCACGGATTGACGGTTTGGCTTCAGCATTCAGTTCGGTATTCTAAGCGCATACCTAAAGTAAAGCCTAAAGTACTAGTCCCTAAATACTCATTTTCGCTTTATAAATAGGTAAAAAAACCTTTATTCACAGCAAGCTTACTATAATATCCACAATTTTATTATTCTGGAGTAATTTAAAAATTTAAAACCTTTATAATATTAGAGGCAAAACACGTTATATTACAGTAACAATAATTATAAACTTAGTAAGGAAAATAAAATAGACAACAACAATATAATAAGAGGTTCTAACAGAAACAGACCTTCATAGTACCAGAAATCGCACTCATAATACGGAAAGAGGTATTAATTGTACTATCAATGATACTTATAAGACTAAAAGTAGTAGTAGTGTTATTTAAAATTATATAACTTTATAGTAATCATCAACTAATAGTAGTACTCACAACTAGTACTGATAATAAAACCCGAAAAAATTGCAGTAATTGTATTGTAGTAAACGCTAGTAGTACTAAAAATAGTACTAAAAGTACTAAAGTTAGTATCAATAGCACTACTAAAGCCAAAACTTCAGATTTAACTTCATAGTACCAAATAGTACCAAAAAATACCTTTACAGTACTAAAACCATCAATAACAATACTATAAATATTACTAACAGTACTAAAAACCAAACTATTAGGTTGTTAGGTAAGTCGTGGGCCCCCCTAACCGTGTATCAGAAAAAAAATTTTTTGCGTTACAACAAGAACTAATTATTAATCAAAATAGTTATCATCAACATTAACACAATGTGTCCAACGTTTTTAAGCATTTTTATCCCAGTAGTATAGGATTCAGAATTTCTAGAGCCTAAGAAAATTTTGATGGCTTCCATGACATCGTCATCTTCAGTGGATTGTCGCTGACACATAAATGCTGTCGAAGATTTGAAAATATGGTAATATGTAGCTATCATGTCGAGTAAATACAAATGATGGTCAAAAACTTTGTATCCAAACCCGTTGTTTTTCTGCGGTCATCGTTGCCAAGTGGGGGCGGACACTGTCATGAACAATAATTGACCTTCTGTTTCTCAACTTTGAAGGTAGATAGTGGCGCATTTGGTCAATATTAATAGAATACGTACTAACAGTTATGGTTTGGCCAAGTTTCAAGGAATTATAGAGAACTACTCTACAGGACCTCCACTTTTCTTCAAGCGTCTCATCTCCAGAAGGAAGCTTTTGGAACCAAATTTTTGCTGTTGTGTAGCTCACAATACTTTGTCCATGTGTCTTATTTATGAATCCGGCCGTAGTTTTAACGTTACGACTTGTTTTGTACTCTTTTACATCACTACCCAAAGTCGTCATTTGCCCTATAATGTTCTGGCCACTAAAACAACAAAACAAAAAATTAAAAGAGGTTTGAAACTTACATATTCTGAAAATATAGGTTTTAAACTATAAAAGGACATCAAAATTTTCAATTTGCGATATATATTAATTTTTTCCTGATTTTTCAAACATTTGTGTTGAAAGGGGGCCCACGACTTACCTAACAACCTAATAATAGCCCTACATACAGTACTAGTAGTACCAAACCTTTAAAATCTAATTCTTCGTTGGATGTAGCACCGCTTCGACGTTCTCTTTGCCACAATGTGCACAAATGGCGTGCATCGTGCCTGGCGGAATGTCCAGTTCTTTGTAGTTGAGGTGAGTGGCCAATGAGATTTGAACTCGGCTGACGGTTGGGAGCTCGTCCAAGGCTTCGCCCGATTCGTTGACTTCCGGTTTTTCTCGTTTTTCCAATACAATCGGCAAGAAATCAAGAGTTTTTGTGATTGTCAGCTTTCTGAAAAAAACACAAAATTTAAAAAATTTTAGTTCACCTCATAAAAAACACCCTCATTCCTTAAAAACACCCTACCATCAATTGAAAAAAACCCTTATCAACCCAAACCCCTTACTTCATATCGATCTGCGCGGCCGAACACACATAAACCATCCTGCTCGGTGTGAAGACACAAAACACTATGCCTACGGGGCTTCGAGTCCGGATTGTTTTGCATAGTTCGTGGTACTCATTCATGTCCTCCAACGAGTACGAACAATGTGACATTTTGTGCATATTGGCAATGGCATACGTTGCATGAAGGTACCTTATCACTGGAGTTGGAACAAAGCATAGTGAGTTCGAATTGCATTTGCAACATCGTGGGATCATGTTGGTTGTGTCGATGATCAGCTTTTGCGACTCCATAAAGGTGGCTAGCTGCTTGTCGAGGGTTGCGACTGAAGCTGGGAGGTCGACCACTTGGTCTGGCGGGTACTGGAAAGTAAGTTTTGGTAAATTTGAAGTAAAAATAAACTTAAATTGACTTTAAATTTCAAAAACTCTTACCTTTGCCACAAACTTTCCAGTAGTGAGCACCTTCACTGATGGGTCGTACTCTAATCTAGCATAATTCTTTTCGTATTCATCACTTTTCACACTTATGCCACATCGCCTGAGGACTTGAGAAATCTGCGAACACATTGGATCGGCACAGAACTTTAGGCCCTCTGGATTGTTCAGTTCTGTCTCCGGAATCCTTGACTTTAGGTCTTTGTTTATTGTCTGAAATGGCATAATTATGGTTTTTTGATTTGTATAAAAATAAAGACCGTTACCATAAAAAAAATCAAATTTTTGAAAAAACAGTACCAGTAGTACCAAAAAAGTGACTTTTATACAAAAAAAAATATTTTTAGGTAATAGTTTTTCAAATTTAAACTTTCAACTTTAAAAATGCTTTTTATAAAAAAGCAGTACCAGTAGTACTAAAATGGTGAGTTGTAAGCGATTAGTACCAAAAAGATCTTGAAAAAAACTAAAACCAAATTTTTAAGTAACAAATCTCTAAAAACTGTTGATCTTTACCCATTTCAAACTAATTTTTTTAAAACAGTACCATTAGTACCACTTCTCAAATATCAAAAAATATCTCACATTAATCAAGCTGATCAACTCCTCTTTCGTGAAATGATTAGACTTTGTCTTCTTTCCGCTTTCGGTCTTGTTTTCGGCCAATAGAGCGTCGTACTTCTTGCCTTCGCTTCTCTTTTCTCTTCGCTGCTCTGGGTGAAAGGATACCTTTAAAGGCTGGAATATCTCTGTCAGGTCTCTTATCACTGGTCTAAAAATATAATTTTTTAAAATTTTTCCGCAAATCAAAAAGTAGTCAAACTGAGCGACTCTAATGCCTCTAGTAAGTTTTTGGTGCTGTTGGTACAACTGGTACTAGAAATAGAAAAGATAGTACAATTGATACTAGAAACAGAAATCTAGTACGATTAGTAATAAAAGCAAAAAAAGTTAGTACAACTGGTACTAATAACTGCAAATCTAGTACAACTAGTACTATAAACAACTCTTATTCAAAAAGTAACATTAAAAGTTGCTTTCAGTAGTAGTAGTACCATGAACAGACTTTTTTGTACATCCAGCATCACTAACACTAAATTTGGTAAATCTAGTACTTTAATAACCAAGTTAGTACTACTAAAAATTTAAAAAGTAAATATAGTAATACAAGTACTTCAAAACAAATTTGGTACTACTAGTACCATAAAAGTACGAGTAATCAACTTACGCCAACTTTTCCTCAAATTTCTCTCCAATCAAAAGACAAGCCAAAGAATCTCTGGCCGCATACATCTGCTGATTCCGTCTTAATGGCCGTTCTGACCATACACTCGACTGTTCTACCTTCTCCATTTCCCAACCAAGCAACTCTACTGTTAAGGTTTGTAGGTTTTGGCGCTCTGGTAGCCCTTAAAAATATGACGTATTAAAATTTCAAATACTGTTACCTAAAAATGATCTAAAATTGCTATAAAACAAATTACTAGTCATTTTAGTACTACTGGTACAATTTTTAGGTTAAAAATTTTTTTAAAGAAATTAAATTTCAAGAAATATTAACTAAAAATAACTTCAAACAGCCTCCCCCCTCCCCCAAAACACATTAGTACTCTTTTTGGTACCACTGGTACCATTTTTACCACAAAAAATAATGTTTTTTCAGAAACTTTTATATTTCAAAAAATGTTACCTAAAATCAAAAAATTCAGTTCGGAAATCGAATGGTACTCGTTTTAGTACCACCAGTACAATTTATAGCATCAAAAATAAAAAATATACCAAAACCCCAACTTACTTTCAAACAGTGCATCGATAGCATTTTGATTCGCAGAGATGGCTATCATTGCATTTCTTATGCACACCAGGTTCTGTATGTTATCATTGATAATAGTTTCCACGTCCGGAAAGTTATGTACAACTGTTTTCAAATCACTTTCGTAAGCGAAACCAAAGATTTTGTTCCCTGATCCGAAAATAATTTGAAAAAGTTCGACCCATTTCGGAGAATCTCGGTTGATATGGCGAAAGGCTTCGATATCGACCAGTAGCGTCTCGTGTTTTGATGATAATTGAATTATTCCTAATCTGAAAAAGATGTAAATGATATTTTTATATGAAAATAATATTTGCCGTTTCTAACCCCATAGTTTTGCCAAAAATGCCATTTCTAACTCATTATCTCCTTCAAAACCACTAAAACTTACATTCCCTGTTCAGCATTGTAGCTCTGATCCCATTCCGCATCAAATCCCAAGGTTTTGTTTTCATCCATAAATGATTTTAACTTCTCCAGCTTTTCTTCCGTGTCGATCATCATTACTCTGTGATCCGAGTTCATGTAGAAACCATCTTTTAGAGCCATATTTTCTTCGTGAATCTTTTTGTTACTGAAAATATTTTTTTATTTTTTCAAAAAAAATTTAAAAATTTGAAAATCAAAAAAAATTAAAAACCTACTACTCCACGATCAAATCCGTCATATCTCGCCACAGATGATCCGTTGCCGTTTCCTTCAAGTTTTTAGGCCAATCCCCTCGAGGTATGTTCAAATACAAAGCAAAGAACATAGCGTCGCCAACAGAATGCGGAGCCAGATACTGTAGAGCAGCATACCTCATCAACGGACAATCCTTGAGTAGATGTTTGACTTGTTGAGCAAAAATATCAAAGTGATTGTCATCATCTTCACTTTCCATCTCCATTTTCTTTCTATATTCAACAACAATCGTGAAGAAAGACGACAATTTCCGTACGAACAACGAGAATTTACAGTAATCCTGGTCGAGATTGAAGGTTTTGCACCACTGAAATACAGTACGAGTTAGAGTGTTCTCTCGGATCTTCTCCAACAACATGTCAGCACAGTCTTTTTGAACCGAATCAAAGCCGGTATGAAACCAGGCATTGTCCAGATGAGCTCGACGACCTTTGGCTACTGTGATGTCGAGAAACAGTACCATATTCTCAACATCTTTGCGTAGCTGATCGTTCGAAGAGGACTCGGCTTCATAATAATGTTGAAGGTTGATCAGCATGTTCTCTTTGAGAGCCATCGTGACCAGCTGAAAAGGTGACCATTAGTTGTTCGTACTCATTAAGCTTGTTATCATATGAGTAAATAAATCCAAAAATCTTGTCAAAAACAACATAAAAACTCAAATAAAATATAAAACATAACTTCAAACAAAAAATGTTAAAATAAAATGATTTTTCCTAAAAAATCAAATTTTAAAAGACTGATATTAACTTACCCTCTCTGGCCGATGTCGAGAATATAACTTTAGCTCCATGATCCACCTCAAAGCATCTGCTCCTCGTCTGTAAAACGTTCTAGTTGCCTAAAACAACTTTTTCTTATCAAAACCAATTTATCAAAAATTCGTTACCCAAAAAATCATTTATAGCTTTACACTGTTGCCTAAAATCTGTTTTTGACCCTGAAACATCATATTTTATTTTCTTTATTACCTAAAATCAAATTTTAAAAATAAAAAGCCAATGTGTCACATTGGTTACCTAAAAATAAGTTTTTAAAAGCAAAAACAATATTTTCTAAATCTGTTACCTAAAAACAGTCAAAAATTTCTATTAATTCGTTAGTTTCTACTTCAATATACAACCTAAAGATATAAAAAAAATAAAAAGCCGAACTTACCCCGAGGAATCTGTTGAATTCATCGTTAAAATCTTGAAAATCAAATGCAATCCTGTACATGTTATACCATTTTGAACGAAGAAGACAGTACAAAAAGGTTTCCTAAAAAAATTCATAATGATTTAGAAAAATAACTTTTAAAGCTATTTTACTTCAAAAAATAATATTTTAGGTATGTTTTTCTATAAAAAATAGTATTTTTGGTCACTTTCCCCTTAAAAATCTTATTACTGCCACCTTTTGCCCCAAAACGCAAACTTCAAACGTAAAATAAATAAACACAAAAATCTTACCAACCAAGCAGCATCACAGATCCTTTTCGAAGCCTGTTGCCGCTCCTTTGCATCAATCTTCTCCACCACCCTGGTAAACGCCATCACACATTGATTGTACATCAAGTTCAGATCATTGTACTCGACCTTCTGAATCAGATCCGAATCGTGAAGTCTGTGGAACCATATTACCAAGTCAATCATCTTCGCATAGGTCAAACACGTGCTCTCCTTCTCGTTATCAAACATCTTGGTGAAGGTAATGTCATAGACATCCACCTTTTCTCGAAAGTCTTTGGTCGAAGTAAAATTCTCATAGATTTTCCGTCGCTGTTCCTGCATGTAGCCGTTAGTTTCCTCAGTAAAACATATGGCAATGTCGAAGGATTCGGAGACGGATCGAATCCTCCTGTCTTTCACAACATCGCCGCCTTCGTTAGAGGAGTTCATTCTTCGCCTGGAAATGAAAAATTATATAAAATCGTTAAAAAATTAATTTTACTCATATTAATTTCAATATTATCAGACGAAAAAATACTTTGCGAATTTCCGGGTTATCAAGTGTAATATCACATAACAAGCGCTAAAACTCAACGTTTAGATCAATCAAAAGTCAAAGAATAGATAAATCTTAATCTGCTATGTTTTCTAAACATAACTTCAAAATTTGAAAAGGTCTAGTTTTAGGCCTAAAATCAACCAAAACCTTGAACCACCTCTGCAAAAACTTGTAAATTTGAAGAACACGATCAAAAACGAAAGTAAATCAAGTGAATATTACAAAAATTGTACCTTTAAAAGCAAGAGAAATTTATTTTAACATTTTTATAAATGAAAAGTTCAAGTGATATTGAAATAAACATAGCTTTACTTAATTTTTATATGTTATCCATCAAAAAAATTCAAAATCTGACCCTCTGCCAGTTTTAACTTAAAAATTAATAAAAAGAGTTAAAAGTAAAACAAAACAAAATTATAATAAGCTAGTAAAAACATTGAAGAATCAAATTCAGTACCATTTTCTCCTAATTCCCTTCAAAAAGACTCGGGATTTTCGAGAAAAAAATCCAAATTTTCGCGGATTTAAACCTGCCAAAAAGCGCGCGCAAACAATGATAAGGCTAGAACAATATCAAATGGACTTACTTCTTGGCCTCCCATTCAGGTGTTGGGGGAACGTGGAGCTCGGCAAAAATATGCCGAGCCGCCGCCGTCTTATACATTCTGAAAAAACGATGTTATTCATGGTGAATTTGCATGAAATTTGCATAAAAATATCGAAAATTAGCAAAATTTAACGGGTTTTAATTTGAAATGGGGACTAAAGCTAAAATACGCTATATTATTGATAAAACTAGCGAAATAACTTATATTTTTAGTTAATTTTCAAGGTTTAATCGAAATTTCGTAATATTTTACCGAAAAACGAAAAATTAGGTAATAAATTAGTTTTTTTGGTGAAAAAGTAAAAATTGCATAGAATTATCGATTTTCAGAGTTGTTGGCATGTAAATTAAGGCTTCTTATATTTTATGTTTTATAATTTTGTAATTCACTTGATCGGTCAATAAGTTTGCAGAATTTAATTTTATATTACGATCCAATACCTTAATCTTGGTTGTTTTGTTACCTTATGATCCCAAATTGTTTATTTTGTTATTTTGTGGCCAAAATTATTTTTTTGTCGTGGTCAAAAAGTTCGTAGATTTATCTGTTTTGTTAAAACCTTATGTCGATTATTTTTGTTCGTGTGACATGTACCTTTATATTGAATTTATAACGGCTTTAACTTATTTTTAAAGGTTAAAAACTCAAGTTTCAGGTGAAGTGGTCTAGCCTGGCTTTCTGGCCTTCCTGATCCGTCCAAACTCGGCCCATCTGCTTTCCAGAAAAGGTGGATGTTTATGACATTATCTTCACCAAGATGTTTGATAATCAGAAGGAGAGAACGTCTTTGACCTATGCCAAGATGATTGACTTGGTAATATGGTTTCACAGGCTTCACGATTCGGATCAAATTCAGAAGGTTGAGTACAATGACTTGAACTTGATGTACAATGAATGTGTCATGGCGTTTACTAGGGTCGTGGAGAAGATTGATGTCAAAGAGCGACAAGAGGCTTCTAAAAGGATCTGTGAGCTGCTTGGTTCGTAAGATCTTAGTTTTTTGATTAATTTTAGGCTTATAAATTGAATTTTGGGGCCAAAGGTGACTGAAATAAGGTTGTTAGAGGGAAAATTGGCCTGAAATACTAGTTTTTATAGATTTTTTGATAAGAAGATGGATAAAATACTATTTTTAGAAGTAAGTGGATCTTAAAATTTAATTTTTTATGGATGTGTTAATAAGAAGATAGCTAATATAGCGTTTTTTAAAGCAAAAAGATGCCAAAAATACTATTTTATGAAGCAAAGTAGTTGTGAAACAGTACTATCAAGTACGTTGTGATCATTAATAGAAGGTAGAGTAAATTTTAAATTCAATTTTTCAATTTTTTTGGTGTTTTTCAATAAGTTTTGACTTCTCGGAACTTATGTTTTTGTAAACAGTCTTGTTTTTGATCTAGAACAACTGTTGTAATCTTTCAAAGTAGCATTTTTACTTAACTTCATATATATTATACATGTAACAGAACTTGTGGCGCACCCTGTATATACATCTACTTATATATGCATATACACCTTGGCACCAATATAAATCACGAATTGAAACAAAACAAAAATATTGGAAACAGACGGAAGGCAGGGGAGATTGATTAAATCTTGTTGTTCTTTGTTCATGGATCCGAATTCCAATCGAATGTTCACGTGCGTCGCCCTTTTAAAACGTCGCCGCACTTTGGACCCGATTCAAAAACGAGAAATCACATGGCGACGTTTTGTAAACCTGAAACATCTACCCTCACATGGGAGGAGGGTCGCGTGACTTCAGGAGGTTACGACCGTGCAAAAGGCAGTAAACGTGAAGGAAGGGTAATATATTATAAAGGATAATATAAAGAAATGAATTTTTATGGAAAGGTTAGCTATGAACTATAGGTATAAAGACCAAGTATAACTAAAGGTTTTTAGAAGAGTAATGAAACAAATAATGAAGGTAACAAAGACATGGAGGTCGGCTAATAAAAATAATATGTGAGACAAAAGTAAGAGTAGAAAAAGAAAAATCGAAGGTCAAGGGCATGGTAAGCGATGGTAACATTAGGTACAATATGCATAGTAGTCGCATAGAGTAAGGGCAGCGACAGTAAGGTTGGATATGAATGGGTAGCAGTAATAAGATTGGCCAGGGCATGAACAGTATAAGGCAGAGCAAGGGAAGCATGGAGCAGGGCATGGGCAGTGATTGTAACGATTAGACAAGAGAATGGGGCCGGGCTCCATTTTGAGACTCTGTTTGATCTAAATTTTGCTCAGGGCCGGCCCGGCCTGAATTTTTTACGTTCAAAAGGGCTGGGCTTTTCGGCTGGGCTTTGATTTTCAGGCTCGGCCCGTTCCTCATGGATAGGGTATTTGTAGGGTAGGGTAGGGTAGGGTAAGCTAGGGTAGGGTAGGGTAGAGTAAGATTCAGTACAATAGGTAAAGGTGTCAATATCAATTTAAACTTTTTTTTGCTATTTTTGCATCACTTTTTCCCTTTCCTCTAATAAATTGTCCCTGCCAAAGAGTATCAAAAACTCGTCTGTTCATATGATCACGGTGACGTATTTTACTTTTTTCTCCTCATCAAAACCTCATGATAGTTCAGCTGAATGCCATATGAATCGCAAGTTCTAGCGAACCGAGATTATAAAGTTTTTGCACGAAATTTGAATCGATCAAAAGGTTTAGATTTTATGCAAAATCACTCGAAATACGATGAAGATACGATCACAGTGACGTCGAAAGTTCGTCGGGGAACGGAATCTTGTTTAGGGGGTGATATTAAAATTTTGGGGGTATTTTAAAGGGTAATATTTAGGTTGGGGTAGGGGTGATATTTTAAGGGATGATGATTCGGGGTATAAGTGATATTCTAAGGGCGGTAAGTCGAGGTATGGGCAATTTTTTAAGGGGTGGTGTGTTAAGAGTTTGAGGGCATTTCAGGGGGTGATAAATCAGGGTATGGCTGATAGTTTAAGGGGTGATAAGAAGGGGTATGGTTGATAGTTTAAGGGATGATAAGTTGGAGCATGGGCCATATTTTAGGGGATAATAAGTTAGGCTATGGGTGATATCTTACGGGGTGGATTAAGGGGTGATAAGTTGGGGCATGGGCTCTATTTTAAAGGGTGATAAGCCAGGGTATACGTATTGTTTTAAGGGGTGATAAGTCGGCGTATGGGGGATACTTTAAACATTTTTCGATTTTTTTTTAAATTTAAAAAAAATTTTAAATTTTAAAAATATTTTCAAAAAATCAAAAACCGAGCAGAAATGAGTTCTTTGGATTTATTATCACGCTAATGTTGGGCGGTGTTCATATAGGTTCAAAACTAACACAAAAATATAATATTCACCGTCTCTGTTTCTCCTCGATTCGACAACCAAATAAGTAATACCGGGGATGAAGAAAGGCAAATATATAGAGCGTACGATGCTGGCAACATACGACAACGTACGACGATGAGAGACGACCCGACCTACAGAGGCACAGCTAATAAATAAGTATGATTGGAGGGGTTAACATGGGGGAGGGGGTTAAAGCCAGAATAACTTCAAATATTGGATCCTATGTACCGTCATAATGACGGGTTTTTTGACACAAAAGAGTTTGTAATCAACCGATTTGGAGATCAGTGGGTTTTTGGCATAGTACGAGAAATTTTGAGTACTAGAATAGTACGATACTGAACATTAAAAAATTTTAAATTTAAAAAAATGTCAGAAAAAGTTTAACAGGGTTCAAAAAATCAAAAATTTCAAAAAAAGTTTTTTTTAAACTAAAATACTTAAGGTCAAACAGTACTAACACCATGCCAAAGACACACCAACTACCCGTTAAAGATAATTGTGGAATAAATGATAGAGTAAATATGACTAAAACACTACAAGATCATTGCATGAAACTTTTTTTGACTACTCTAATATAAACGATCGTATCTTATTTATATGTCAATGTAAAACCTCGCAATTCAGATAATATACACCTAAGATACTAGGCTTATATAACCCTAAATTTAAAGTAAATCCATCAACATAACCCTAAGATACGACCGATTTAACTGAGTGAACCTTGAAGATGAGGGTAGGGGTAGAGAAGAGGCAATTGTGGCAAAAGCCCTTCATTCAGGAGATCGATTGGAGTTGGACGAAGTGTCGGGTTGTAAATGACGTGCTGCTGCATAAGGTTCGAGTTGAGTTGGTTCAGTTGTTGCAACATGTTCAACTGATTGATCAAATCAGTCTTTGGACCAAAGTCGAAAGCGTTCGAAATTGGCAACGCCTCAGGCTTGGCCAGGAGGGTACTGGTCAGCATTGGCTCTGATTTGGGTAGAATTTGAGACAATGTTGAGTTGGTGTCGGCCAGGAATTCGGGACTAGCTAGAAGTTCAGAGTTAGCCAAAAGTTCGGAATTGGCCAACAGCTCAGGACTAGCCAAGAGCTTAGGGCTAAGGAGCTTGGAGTTGGCCAGGAATTCAGGATTGGCTAGCTGTGGTTCAGAGATGACAATAGTGGGTTGAATTGGCTCGGGCTTTGTTTCAGCTGGTTGGGCTTCGATTTGGTTCAGGGCGGCCAATTCTTGCTCAAGCAGGGCGTTCTCGGCTTCCAAAGCTTGCTTGGCTTCGGCTAGCTGGTCTTGGCGCTCTTTCATTACCTAAAAATGTTAAAATTAGTATGAAAGTTGATTTTTTAGGTAGCAAACTATCTTTTTTTTAGTTTTACTTGAATAAATAAGTTATTTTAAATATTTTTGAGGCTTTAAAAAGTCTTGTCGCCAAAATACATTGATGCTAGTGTAAAAAAACGACAAAACTTCTTTAATTTTTAAAATCCACCCCCAGAGCAAAGATTATCAAATACAACCTCCAAAAATCAAAATATAATGCATTATCTCTAAAAAATTCGATTTCGAAATGGCATTATTGTTTTCCAATTCCTAAACTTTGTTTTTTAGTCCGGAGGCTATTTTCGGCCGTTCGAAAACAGAAAATTTCTGGAAAAGTTAATTCCAAATTTAATTACAGCAAATGGCAATTGTAAAATTGAGGGGGGGATTTGGTTAGGATAAAGGTCGCACTTTTTATTTTCGGATTTAGGGGGGTGTTTTGTACTAATTTGAACGGATTTGGCCTTTTAGTGGATTAGATAGCTGTAGGGTGGGGAATTATAATTGGAGGAGGTTTTTATTTTGGATTAAGATTTTTTGAATTTTAAATTTTAAAAAAAATTTTATGAACTTTCAAAATTTTTCGAAAAAAAATTTTTCGAAATTTTAAAAAATTTTTTAAAAATCCAAAATTTTAAAATTTTCTCTAAAACCCGCCTTACCTTAATAAAATTCCTGGCACGAGTCAACAAGCTCAAGGTGGTGTCGCGGGTAGATTCGCAGTCCGGCGGCAGCACGGACTTGAGGTGCTCGAGGTAGTTGCGAAGATTAGCACGTCGGTTCTTTTCCAGCTCGTTGTGGGCAGCTCTGCAAATTAATCCCCGGATTATACTTGCTATTTGTGGCTTTTTGTTGTCTATGAGATTATTTTTATGTTAAAATTTTTTTTATTTAAAAATATTTTGTGAAAAAGGTCCTTAAGACATATTACTTCAGTTTGATAAAAGTCTTGTCGTTTCTGCGTATGTAAGATAATGTAAATTGACGACATGACTTTAGAAGAACTTTTTAGGTTTTGTAAGACATTTCATAGTGTTAAACAGCTTGAAGGGCGTGCTTTATAGGGTGTATAACAAAGAAAATTAAAACTTAAAATATGATAACAAAATGACTAAAAATCTAATTTTAGGTATAACATGTCTACAGTATCATAAATATTTTACTACAAGTTATACTTGTTTACAATTATATGCAGTTTACAGCTCTTATCATGCTTATTCACCGTAGTTATTTTTGATTTCCTGTCATGCTTCTTCCAAAACATATGATCATTTTTCGATCGTCTTGAAATTGTTTGATCTTTAGACAAAACAAAAGGTTTTCACATGTTTCAATCTATTTTTAGGCTAGTTTTAAGCGTTTGTTGACATGCTTAAGGCTTTGAAACTATTCTTTAGGCTTTGGAGGTCCGTTTAGGTTAAGGAATGGTATGTTCAGGCCATTTAAGCTAAGGCTTTATAACATCATGCTTTGGGCTTCAGACCAAACTATGTTATGTTACGGCCTAGTTTTATCTTTACTCTTTCGACCTATTTTAAACTTTTTAAAACTACGAAATGGCCTTCATTACCTCAAAACAAGCTGTGGCCATCAAAAACAACTATACTTTAGTCTTTTGACATTAAGTTATACTAATTTTGCTCGAAAAACCAAACTTCATTCTCTGTAAAGTCAATAACAATTAAACGCCCTCTGGCATTAAAACATTATACACACAAATACCTTGTCTATTTCAAAATAATGCATTTTCAAAGGAAATTCCAGCTTTACGAGTCAGGCGAGGGCCGTGATTCAGCTCCCCGTCTCAACCTTTGATCGGCGTGTCTCTGCCCTGCCTATCGCCTAAAGTTGATCGCTGTCTCTGCCCTACCTATCGCTTAAAGTTGATCGCAGTCTCTGAATACCGCCTTCAGAATGGCTCTGTCTATCTTCTCTCGAAACACCTTGTCTTTCACTACCCCCTCCCCAATCACTCTGACCATCCTCTCCCAATCACCCTGTCTATCCCTCCCCCCAACGTGGTGTACGTGTGTTTCTCCACCATCCACGCACCCGACACGTGGTGCGAGGCGAGTCCACGTGAATTTCAGGAATGCCGTCATGACCCGTGCAGACTTGTTTTTTTGTGTCGAGACTGACGAGAGCGAAGAATGGGCATGAGGGAGAACAGAAAGCCGGCTTTTTTTGCTTGGCTTTGAGTGGGCAAAAAACGGCTGAACAGACTCGGCTTGTTTTTTTTGGGAGTCTGTGGGTTGGAAAGAAAATGGTTGAAAAAAATGGAATTTGCGGTTTTGAAAACGTAAAATTTTTAAAAATAAAAAATTTTTTTTTTGAAATTGAAAAAAAAATAATTCTTTCGTATTTCATAGCTATTTTTGCTCATTTCTTTGAATTTTAATGCCATTTTAACTCATTTTTTCAGAATTCCATACCATTTTCTTCAATTTTTTTTACTTTTCAAGCCATTTTTGCCCAATTATTTAACTTTAAAACCCTTTTCTGTCAATTTCTCAATTTCAAAACCCATTTTTCTGCACGTCCAATAAACTTCCCATACCTCCCTTCAGCATCATTTTGTTTACCGTCTCCTGGCCCACTTCAAAAACCGAGCAAAAGGGCAGTAACCGGAGAAGAACAAAAATCGAGCTGTCAGAGGATGACATCAAGGCCGAAATGCCTTCAAACTCTTCAAAACGAAAAGAACAAAAGTGCATGCGGAATGCACGAGGAGTACGAAAACACAAAGAACGGCGGATACAATTGCTTTGAGCGGCCCGAAAAGTGGACAAAATGGCCCAAAAAGTGGGGAAAATGGGCTGAAAAGAAGGAGAAATGGGCCAAAACGTAGAAGAAATTGATCGTTTTAAAGGAGAAAATGGCTGGAGAAATAGAATTGCACTATAATCTTCTAGCATAAGCCCTAGCCTAAGTCGTTTTGTACTGGACAAGAAAATTTTGTGATACTGGGCAAGGTAATCTTGTTATACAGGGCAGAGTAATTTTTTTTGTTTTACTAGGCAGGGTGGATTTGAATGAATAAAAATAGGAAAAAAAGGCTTGAAAAATGAAAATTTTGTTCAACCTTTTTTTAAAAAAAATTTTTTTTTTGAAATTTCAAAAAAACTAAAAAATTTTTTAAATTTCAAAATTTTTTTTGTGGGTGGCTTCTCACCCCTGCCATTTAAAAATAACATTTAAATTAGCTTTTCAGTTCATGCTCCGTTCATTTATGTCCTTTTAAAGCCATTTCAAACTGAAAAATAGTCAAAAACTGGCCCAAACTCCGATAGTACGAAGTCGAACGGCCTGAACTCGGCTTTGTATCTTCGTAAACAGAAAAACAGCCTTTATATATAGAAAAACAGCCTTAGTATATAGAAGAACCGCCTTCATATATAAAAAAGCCGCCTTCGTATAGTAGCCAAGAAGAACGTTTTTGCATACGAACAAAAAATAGATATTCATGAGGCAAATAAGCATGTCTGTCGTGCTATTTTTAGTACGTACGTAACAATGCTTTCCCGAAATTAATGACTGTTTTCGTTGATATCATTGCAAAAAACACGTTTTTAAGGTTTTTGGTGAGTGGGTGATAAGAAAATTGTTTGAGTTAGCAAAACGATGATTCAAAGTTTTGAAATTTTGGTGTAGCGTGAGGTAGAGATCAAAAAATGAGGGAGAAAGTCCAAAAATGGCAGTGAATAGTAAAGCACAATAAAGCTGAAAAAAGTTTTGTCGTTTTTCACTGTGCTATTTCATATAAATTGGCGACAAGATTTTTTTAAAGCTTTAGTAAGATAAAAGTAATTTTTTAAAATTTTCAAAATTTCAAAAAAAAAATTTTTTTTAATAAAAAAATTACCCCGCCCTCACAAAAATCCTCAAATTTACCTGCTCTGCCGTGTAGAATGCGTTGATCGACTTGATTGATGAACCAGTGGCGAACTAGGCGCGGTCGAGTTGTTGGACTGTGATTGGTTGGACATGCTCGAAGGTGAGGAGCGATGTGAAGAGCCACTCGAGTTGAAGCCAAAGGATTCCATGAGTTTTGGCTGAAGGTAGTTGTCCTGGTAGTCTTGGCCCAGTTTGTACATGCTAATGTCATTCAACTGGTTCAGGAGGGGGTTGGAGCGCTCGAGGAGTTGGGCCGCTCTGAGGAGCTGATCGATGGTCAGCGAGGCGTTCATTCTCGACTGTGCTGTGGCGTTCCTTTTTGGTAACGGTTTGTAACAAGGGTTTTAATGGCCTTTATAACAAGGTTTTTAATAGTAGTGCCTTCAAATGGCAAATTTTTGTTGTATTAGCCTAAAATGGCAATATTTGTAGTAGCAATGCCTTCAATGACAATAGTGGTAGTGTCTTTCAGCAACAATGTCCTGATGTCCTTCAACAGCAAACAACGGCGGACAGGGCGGTGGCGGAAAGAAGGCGAGAATCTGCAAATGCGATTGTTTATGAAGAGATATTTTAATGCCCTCTGGCACCGCGGATTCTTTTTTAAACACACGATGGGCGTGGCACGACATTTTGACTCGCGTTTTGGCGCTTACAGTCCGCGTGGGCCGCCGCTAACAATAAAAATTGCGAGAGGGTAGAGGTGGGATGAAGAGAGGGGGACGGTAATTTTGAACAATTAGGTAAGGGGGGGGGGTTAACAATTGAGAAGGAGGGGACGGGGGGGGAAGGGGTAGATTTTTCCAAACAATTAAAGAGTGGGGGTTGTATCGCCATTGTTGGAAGTAAATTGTAAAGAAATTGTAGAGTAAATAATACAACGATGTAAATTTTAATTGTACTGAAGTTTGTACAATAAGAAATGGCAGAACACGCAAAAATACAAGATTTGATGACAAAAGTAAATGTCATTGTATGCGTTTTTATATAAAAAATGTAAAATAATCTTTGACGTCAGTTGCAATGGTCAATGGTGCTTTAAAACCTCAAAAAAAATAAAAAATTTTTACCCCGCCCTTTTCCAACTTCAATAAGGCCATAAAAACGCCCCTACCCACGAGAACTAAGCTCAACTTCAATTAAACACATACTATATCGCACTTAAAAACGTTTTCATACAGTATACAGTATTGTAGATCCACATACTACAGTATTTTACATATACAAGTTAAACCTGGTTCATACTATACCAAGGCCAAAATAAATCTCATTACAAAACCCAAACAGTAAAAGGTGTTACCAAAGTTCATTACCACGCAAAGTACTTTTATAAAGTAGATTTGTAAATTAGGTTCAACACGACATCGTAGACAACTACGTTTATAAGGTAAGGCTAGAGAGACATACCGTGCTTAGTTATGGTAAAGTAAATGGAAAAACGTAAGGTATTTACATATAGTACAGTAAGTAAGTACAGTAAAGTAGGAGAGACTAGGCAAGGTACACAACTCATAGAGTAAGTCGTTACAATGTAAGGTAAAAGTAGTAAACGGTAGTAACACCCCTCAAATTAAAAGTAAATGTACATACGTTAATGTGAAACAAATGTAAGATACGTACATAACTAATGTAATATCAACATGTCATTTCCAAGAACAATCTTGGTCTTTGACTTTCCTACAATAATATGTTTGTTTGCTTCTGATACTTTAAAAGTGCATTTCGACCATATTATGGAGTTCAGTCGCTCATTACTTTTTATACAACTTAATATCATTTAATACAATAAGTTAAAGTCATCTACTACAAGGTAAAACAGAAAGCCCTACTGCTTATATTGCCCAAATGCCCTACTACAATATAAACAAGGATGTCCTACTACAATATAAACCCAAGTTTGACGCAGAATTACAGCAAAGAACAATAAAACTTCAACTTATATTGTGATAAGCCGAACACGTGATATTCACAAGCTACCAAAGTACATGTGTTGTCGAAAAGATAAGGTTTTAAGGAAAGGTCACGTCAGTCGAAGCCCAGTGTAATATCAAAATAGTTGCAATTGGATCGGTTTCGAAATTTAATCACCATTTGGAGGGGCAGGTCATTAGTCATCCTAATATCAATTTTTTCGAATTTTAAAGAAAAAATTGATTTTTAAAAGAAAGTTGATTTTAGTGCCCTAAGGGGCTTGAAAAAGAAATTCTAGGTAGTAAAAAAAAACCCATGCCAAAGCTAAATTTAAAAAAACACCCCCAAAAAATTAATTAAAAAACCCCTGCCCAATGTTTTTAATCATAAAATCCACCTCTAATTTTTGGTCCAAAAAGGCACGCTTTGATCCAAAATCCACAAACCCAGCCCAGTGTAAAGCCAAAAACCCATGCCTCGTCTAAAGGCACCAACCCATGCCCAGTATAAACCCATGCCCGTCAAAGTCAAAAAACGCATGCCCAGTCTGAAACCAAAGACCCATGCCCAGGCTAATTCCACAAACCCATGCCCATTTTAAAGTCGCAAACACATGCCCAGTCTAAAGTCCGTGAGATCACGTTGTCATCCCCCCCCTTTAACAAACATGGTCGCCCATCGAATAGCCTGCAGAGGAAAACAAATTCCGCGGCGACGATCAGAATGACAAGGAATTAAATGGCTCGCGTGTGCCGTGGGTGTTCCGGGCCGTTCCGCCCCGTTCACACCCCTTTCTTCCTCCCCCCCCATTCCACCGTGCACTTCGGGTGTGCTCTCGAACAAAAAAAGCGAAATGGGAACAGTTGTCGCGACAGCCCCGGCCACCACAACCACATGCACTTCGTTCGGTTCCAACAGGCTTCGGGAGGGAGGGCTTGACTGGTATAGTAAATTAGAGAGCAAGATGAAGCGAGAGAGTGATCAGACAGAAAAATATGAAAGACCACGCCTTTTTAAGAGACGGCTAGCCAAAACACGCCAGAAGAAAAAAGTTTTTGCAGACAAAACCCGGCGTGACGTTCAGCTGAAGCACACGTGGCACGTTAGAGTGCGCTGACCAACCAAATGATAAGTCGTTTTGCAAATCAATTAGCCAAATGTAAACACGATTATTTAGGAGACGATTTCTTCACGTGTGTTTACGGCTCGCATCGTGACTGTTTACTACCCCCACCCTCAGGGCTAATGTCATGTGTGGAAGTCAACCCCACCCTCAGGGCTAAATGTCATGTGTGGAAGGTGGCATGGGTGTTAGAAAAGTTTCTTTGGGCATGGACAGGTTAGAAATACAAATTTTTAAAGTTTTTGAAGACGAGAGTTGGTAGATATAGGATTTTACAACTTTTAATACCTAAAAATAGCAAATTTTTGAATTTTTTAAGGATAGCTAAAACTAAGAATTTTCGTACTTTTTCGATAAATTATTAATTTTTCATTCTTATAAATTTTTATTAATTTCTGAGGGTTGTAGGCTTGCCAAGCGTATAAAAAATAAGTTAAAACTTAAAACAAAGCGAAGTTAATTTTGAAAAATCCTTTCAAGTCATGATTTTAGTACAAAAACTTCAAATTTCTGCTGAAAATCAAAAGAAAAATGGTAAAATACGACTATATTCATCATAAGAAATCAAAATTTTAGCTTTTTAAAGATAAAAAATGGTTTTTAAAATCTGAAAAATGACTTTAGAACTCTAAAACAAACAAAAAAATTCAGTTCTAAAGTTAAAATCAAGCCTTTAAAGGCCAAAAACCTAGCATAAAAGATCATAAGCCTACAACAAACACCTAACTTTGGAAGTCAAAAGCTTATCACCCCTACATAAAATAATATCCCCCTTACCATCCCCATGAACCCACACCATCCTACCAACAAACACCACCAACCCGACACTAACCTCCACCCCACCAACCAACACCAAACCCCGCACTAACCTCCACCCCACCAACCCGCCCTTAACATCCCACACACCACCCCACCAACCACACGGTCATACGGCACGTAAATAGCGTAGTAAATAGTTCAGGTCATAGGACAGTAGGGGTCGTAGAATAGCGGCGGGCGTGCAAAACACATGGGCAACTCGAATCACATGGCTCGGCCCTTTCCTGTTAACACACGCGATAAAAGAACCCCTCCAACTCTTCATAGACAAATAAAGTCTACGCGAAAGTGCAAACACAACAACAGAGACGGTTTTGAGCTGCAAATACTCGTACTATACTATAATATACTATCATTTAAATTTAAAAAATGGGTGGGGTTAAGAGTATATTGTTATTTAAACCTTTAGGTACTTTCAAAGGTAAAAATTTTAGTTTTAGTATTCGTATAAGAAAAAAATGATGATACTAAGCTAAAACTGATAGAAAAAGACAATTTTCAATAAGATTTCGATAAGAAAACGACATTTTTTTACTAAAAATCATAAAAAAATGTAATTTTTTTAACAAAAATCGCCTATAAAATGACATTTTTTAATGAAAATCATCAAGAAAATTACATTTTTTGACAGAAATCAGTAAGGAAACGACACTTTTCTAAACATAAAAACCTTCAAATTTGCAAAAAACTTGATTTCAACCCACAAAACCAATAAAAAATCAACTTGTAACAAGTTAAAACAAATCAAATTAAGTTTTAAAAAGCCACGTAAAGACTGTAATTTCATTTTTTTTTTCAATTTTGTTCAAAATTAATTAAAAGTACAAGGAGCAAAGGTAAAAGAGGTCTACAACATGGTAATTTTGCATCGAAATGAGCTTGTTTGCTAAGAGTAAAGCTAATCAACCTCGTTTTCTAATAGGGTTTTCAAATAATACTGAGCCCCCTGGCTTTAAAAATTTGATTTGAAAAGGACACAGAATTATTTGAACAATCAGATAAGCTTTTGATTTTAGAAAAAAATGAAAATTTAATGAAACATCATCCTAAAACCACCAACCATCCCCCTAAAGAACACTAAAAATCACCAACCACAACCCACCAACCACCATCCCCCAATCACGCTTCCACAAACCCTTCCAAAGAGACATTGTTGAAGTTGACGACGCAACGTTGCAGCCGCCCATCAACCATGGTTAGGCGAGTCGGGCGACGACGATTACAAACAGTCTCGTGCAAGACGTCAGGAAAGCCCCACGTCTTTCCATTATTTTTTTCGAAAATTTGCCTCCACGAAAACGCGCCTCCCCTTTCTCGGCGGTTGGTGTGTGTGTGTTGTCACTCGGCTGATCAACAGCCTCGACCTTGTCGCCAAACACGTGAAGCGGGTGCGGTCTTTTCCCCCGACGCAGCCAAACAATGTGCAAATGTTGAGGGGAG